AATCTACTTGTGTTTCAGCTGTACTCCATGATCATTTTGACATCTGCAAACATTGTACTGTGATGACATTTCACTGTCACAACGTAAAATACCAAGAAACCTCATTGGTGTGAAGGACCAAAAGACTAGAGCTGAATGTAGACTTTGAATACCAGAAATCAATCAGTATAGACGTTCTCTAGTGACGTCAGAGTTTTTCTCAGATTTTAGTCAGATGTTGGATTAAGTAGTTACACTAAAAAGATGCCAGTGGTTGTTTTTATATGTACGGTAAGTGAATAGAATCCCAGTCATTGACTAAACCAGAATAATGACTAAGAAATTAGTAAACCGGGAATATAAGGATAACATGTTGAATTTCATTTTAACAAAAAATGTTGTTTAAAACAACTATAAGATTAGTATTAAAGGTGCAAATTCAAAACACGAAGACAAAGATCACTTTCCCTGAAAAACAACAGCAAACTGTTGACCCAACTGTCATTTACCCTCTTGTTTTTATTTTTAYTTTTTTTGTCAAACTCCAATAATACAGTTAGGTCCACATATTTGGATGCTAACACAAAAATTTGTCTTTTTACCTGTTTACTGAAACAAATTCAAGTTATAATTATCTAATGGACATGGACATAAAGTCCAGACATTCAGCTTTCATTTGAGACTATTCACATTAAAACTGGATGAAGGTTTAGGAGTTTCAGCTCTTTAACATGTGCCATCCTGTTTTTAAAGGGACCAAAAGTAATTGGACAATTGACTCCAAGGCAATTTCATGGACAGGTGTGGGCAATCCCTTCATTATGTCATTCTCAATGAAGCAGATAAAAGGCCTGGAGTTAATGTGAGGTGTGGTGCTTGCATTTGGAAGGTTTTGCTGTGAAGTAAACATGCGGTCAAAGGAGCTCTCCATGCAGGTGAAACAAGCCATTCTTAAGCTGCAAAAACGGAAAAAAAAAACCCATCCGAGAAATTGCTACAATATTAAAAGTGGTAAAATCTACAGTTTGGTACATTCTGAGAAAGAAAGAAAGAAAGCACTGGTGAGCTCATCAACACAAAAAGACCTGGGCGCCCACAGAAGACAACAGTGGTGGATGATCACAGAATAATCTCCATGGTGAAGAGAAACCCCTTCACAACAGCCAACCAAGTGAACAACACTCTCCAGGAGGTAGAAGTATCAATATCCAAATCTACCATAAAGAGAAGACTGCATGAAAGTAAATACAGAGGGTTCACTGTACGCTGCAAGCTTTAAGAATAAAAAGGCTAGATTGAACTTTGGTGAAAAATAAATAGATGAATTAATTTAAAAAACCATCTGAAAGGCCAGCAGAGTTCTGGAAGAACATTCTTTGGACAGATGAAACCAAGATCAACCTCTACCAGAATGATGGAAAGAAAAAAGTCTGATGAAGGCGTGGTACAACTCATGATCTCTGATGTATTCAGAGACATACTCAAATCCATGCAGACAAACTGATTGATCGTCGTTTCATACAACAGATGGACAATGACCCAAAACATAAAGCCAAAGCAACCCAGGAG